CCAGTGATAGGTGATTTTCTAAATCTCAGACGTACTTTAACGATAGATGTAGGCCAGCTTAACCAGCGACCACCCGAGAAACGTGGTCGCTTTTGTACGAAGCAGAACAAGCAAGTGTATATCGGTGCGAAACTCCGCCTGACATCGGTAAGCTCACTCCGAGCAGCCAAGCCTGAAAGGCCTTTGTGAACCAAATTAACCCCTGTACTCAACTTGTCCGCGAAGATATAATGGCATACTAGCGGAAGTTGACAATACGTATCATCGCAAAGCACGAGCAGATGTAGCAACACGGAAACAGTCTGCGCAGTTTTATACGGGGAATTCCTCCTCTTCAAACGGTAGACGGACACGCACGGACCACGAAGAATGTGGCGAATACTGTGCGCCTGCAATACGCTCCAACCTTTTAGTGCATTCAGGGGCCACCGTATGACGATAGTTGTCTCAACCTCAAAAAATCATTCATATATCCTTCACGAAAAATTGTACTAAAACGCTGTTGCATTTGCGTAAGCACAGCTCTCCGGGAGTTGAAAATACCCATCAAAAGTCAGTTACGGCGGTAGGGAAAAGCGTAGCTAAGCATATGACTCGGTTCTTCCAACATTGTGTTGACCAAATGGATATATCTGACATGTGGAAACATAGTATCATTACTCCATTTCACAAAGGAGGTAATCGTTCTATCCAACCAACCACCGTCCCTTAATCCTACTACTGGTAGTTTCCAAAGCCATGGAAGCCATTATTACCGCTACTTTAACGGCCTACGTGGAGGTATTTAACCAACTTGTGTCAGAAGAGTATGGCTTCCGACGAAATAGATCATGCACTGCAAATCACTGTCAACTCCATCAAGTTAAACCGAAGCAACAGCCACAGGCACGGACGTTAATAGAGTTTTTCTCGAATTTTCAGGCGTTCAACCGATAGGACAAAGGCATTCTGCTCGCTCGTATTTTGACCATCTCCTAGGATGGCTCAGAAGCTTTCTTCTACACCGACGCTTGGAGGCAAGAATGAGTGAATCCCCATCAGATCCCATTCAAGTTGAATGCAGGGTACCACAGAGATGGGTACTGGGACCACGGTTATTTTTGACGTATACCAACGATATCAGACACTTCATCTGCTTGAATTGCCTGCTCTTCGCGGATGACGTCAAGATGTAGATGGCGATCAATACACAGTACTTCACAGTACTTCAAGTCGATCTGGATAGGGTTTACAATGGTCCATCCAAAATCTACTTCGGTTTACTGTGAATAAATGTAGAACGCTGCACTTACGACACAAATGGAATAATGGAAAAGGGCATATTACTGGTGGAAAGGCAAATGCTCAACAAGTCCCGCAGGGTAGCCCGAATGACAACCACAACATGGGGAAAAGAAAACAGTCCTAAAGTGAAAAGCGTTTTGGTGGACTCACCAGGATGTTAACATAGTGGCATACATTAAAGGTCTAAGTTACCTAAAAATGTGTAGGTTAAGGCTGGTTGTGCAACATTCGTCCCATGATATTGTTTGTCGACGTGCACGTGCTATACCTCGTACTGTGGGTGGGTTAAGGCAAGACCAGGGCATTTTAAAAAAAGCAGACAAAGTGGGGGCGGCAACAACATAATTCGGTAGAACCTTCCATTGCTGGTAGACATGTAGGGAATATAAGTTTCATCGACATGTGTTGTGATTGAATTGCAGTAGATGGCGGCAGACGTAGTCTGGGTTTCTTAGAATCTGGTAAACCAGTATTAAGTAGCCACAGAGGCGTCGATACTGGACGCTGTACAAGCTGGTGGGCCGCCACATACGGAACCAGGAACTGCAAACGTCCTCTAGCAAAAATGATTTAGGCGTTTTGGTCCAGGCCGACTTTGGATATTTGAATCAGGCTGGAAAGCTGTCTTGAAGGGGCGTCAAAAATGTGGACCACCTGAGGAGTGTATTCGCACGATAGGACCTGTGAATTTTTCAAGTGCTTATAGGCTCATACGTCCACTTATGGAATATGCAATACAAGCCTAGCAACCATGACTGGGGAGAGATCTCACCACCTTGGAGATACCCCAACACCGGGCAACCAAGAATGTCAATGGGTTGCATCATTTGCCGTATGAATAAAGGCTACTGATGTTCGGGGTCTTCAGCGGACAATACCGGCGATTGTGTGGGGACCCCATTTTAACTTACCAAATTTCGAGTGATCCCAATCACACGTGCCGTCCTTTGCTAGAGCTCAGTCAAAACAGTAGTCTGGGAGGCCACCATCACAAATTGATAGAGCAGTACTGTCGTTGGGAATGCCGTCGGAATATATTTTCCCTACGTGTTTACCCAGTTAGAATATGTCATCCGTGCTATCACGCTGGCAGAGTCCAAAGTCCGTTGAGTGTGCACTCATTTCACTGAATCATCTCACATGACTCATTGCTCATGGTTAAGCACGAGAGTCTGTTGGATATTTCACTGACGGCCAGCTCCCAGAATATATTCCATCTTTACATCTGTGGGTGCTCACCAGGAGGCGAAAAGATTTTTACCAACATCCGATTCGTCGTCATTCCTTATGGACTTACAGTGGATTTACAATTTATTATATGTATACCGCGATGAGTCTAGCGGTGCAAACTTAATTTCGTCGACCAATTTTCTAAATTTTGAATTTTCACCATGACCATCCTATGTGACATGTCATGCGTTAACCTTCTTACCCGTATTGAATCATTTTTCTGTGGTTCCAATGTTCGCAATTCATAAATACGGTCCCGGTTGCCCAATTTATGCCCCTCCCTAGTTTCAGTTCTCTCCTTTCGGTTAACTGTTGCTTCTTTTCACGGCTTGGCGATTCAGAAAAGCTACTGAGTTTATCCCGTTTAGGCCCGCGGATTAAGAGTGTTTGAGTCGAAATGAACTATTTCGATAGTCATTCAATTAAGTACTTTTGTAGGATGTCCACTAAGAAATGCACACATGGGGAGGTAACTGGTCTTTTACTCTTTCCATGTCAGTGTACCCGTCGATGACGGCGACGTTTCAAGGTCTCGTAAATTCATTCGGTATTGGTCTGAAGGACAAGTCTGCGTTTAACAAGTTCCGTGGGAACAAGATTAAATCATTTGATGGTATCCGGCCAGTAATTTCGGTCCGGTCCCATTCGGTCGGGTTCCGGAGACAAGGCACGGCAAAGCCATAGACGTATGCGTCGGTACAGAGCGTACATCGATGCTTCCACCCACCGGGACAGTGAAAGTAACGAGACAAGCCAGACCACGAATGTAGGCGACTCAATAGGGCAATGGTGATTATTTGTAAGTAGTAGGGGAATTTATTAGGTTTTTGTATAGATTCGTCGCAGTTAGACATAGGCAGACAGCCACCACACATCCAGGAAAGCGCTAGACGGCCGTTTCGTCCTATTGGGACTCAGTAGTAGTGCGCACTCACCGCATCCTGCCGGATTCGAACCCCCGACCTTACTCTTGCGAGTCAGCGACTTATGTCACTGAGTCATGGGCGAATGCGACGGACCGCCATGACTGATATCTAACTGCGATATAGCGGCTCATACTCCACTGTCTTGCATGTTATGAATGTGCAGAGGACAGGGCTGGCCCCCAGAGCAACGACTTCCTTTGCGAGCCGCCACCAGTGGAGGATTAGCCGCGCTATATCGCAGTTTGATATCAGTCATGGCGGTCCGCTGCAGTCGCCCATGGCTCAGTGACATAAGTCGCTGACTCGCAAGAGTAAGGTCGGGGGTTCGAATCCGGCAGGATGCGGTGGGTGCGCGCTACTAATGAGTCCCAATAGGACGAAACGGCCGTCTAGCGCTTTCCTGGATGTGTGGTGCCTGTCTGCCTATGTCTAACTGCGAAGAATCCATACAAAAAGAGCAATAGTGTTTATAAAATATTAAAGGAACAAGAGATGTGGTGCAAAATGGTGGAAGTCAAATGTTTCTGCCTCTAAGCGGAACCCAAGTAGACGCGTACTGTATCTCAGGTTGAGTTCCATTCAAACATAGTATTATACGCATTTGGCTCGAAGAACGTTCTTCTACATTTGATACTATAGCACTCAACTGACCCGTTCCTCCAACCAAAGTAACGCAACTGAATGATTATATGTATATTTTCTAGTTATAGGAATAGCTTCCTTTCCCCAGCTATCCGTTGAGTTGTACAGGTGTAGGAGGGAGGTTAACAAACATCGAACAAAGAGAAAATTTTCATAATTACTCATTTAGTAATATGTAACGAACGAGCTCGTATTCATTGGCTCATCTTCGGGCGGTGATTAAAGGGATGATAATTTCTATTTTATATAACTAAGTGCTTGGACTACCAAGATCAAATCAAAGGGCGTAGCTTGATGGCCATCGTTAGTCGGGGCGGGTTTTGGCCAGGGCAGCGGAATGACCTATACAAGTTTCTTTTGAGCACATATCTCCGGGTTTTGGAATAGGATATCGACTGCCTCTGAAATAACAGAGTAGACCTCCCGTGGACAGCCAGGGAGTCTGCGACCCGTGAATGCAATGTTCTCTCCGGTCGATGTTGAGTGCAGTCGGCTCTTAGCGTCATTCCGGGCATTAGGTCCAACTCCCAGGCCTAAAGACCTCGATTCCTGAGGTCGCACTGCATGTACTGGTGTTTTACATGTCAAAACGCTCACGAGTAGTTAGCTCTTATAGTTCCATTGTTTGCCAACACATCATGAGGTTGCGTAGACTTCTGGTAGCATTTTAGGCATTGACATCAATTTATCTGTCCCCGAATTACTTGTGGGTGCATCCAGTTGAGATCCGAGAAGTATACACGGCGCAAAGCATGCTGACACGCGCACACACACACACGCTACTCACAACCATCTACTCATAAGTAGTTTTGTCTATTTTAAGTTACATGCTGCGATGCATTTTTGCCCCACTGCTTGCACTACCCTCTCGTGTTGTCTATCAACTCTGATTACGAAGTAATTTCTCCGTCGTTACAGATGCGAACCTAATCAGCGGCTTTGACATCGGAAGCCACCAGTGTGTGCGGTGCGGCCGCAGTAACCCGGATCCATGGGCCTGGAAGTTGGACCCAAGATGCGGAATGATGCTATGCATCGAGTGCACTCGACATCGGCCGGAGAAGCGCAACGAAATCACCGATCAGAGACATCCTGGCTCTCTGCGACAGGTTTACTCCATGAGTGCAGGGACTGGAACTACTCAAGCACTCAAATGTCATGGATTCGATCATACGCATCCAGGACCACAAGCTACCTTCAGCCAAAATAGACAAACACCATTGAGGAGTCCGCATTTAGGTACGTGCATATCTGAATTTTATGTTTCAAACGTATTTACCTAATGAAACACAATTTAAGCGATAGGTTGTAATTTGCCTGTACATACCGATGCCAGATGAAGAAGTGCGGAGAATATATCGCTTTCTGTGCATTGAATATACTATTCTCGAACCTTAGATATTTCAGTGAAACGTAAGCAAAGGCATGAAAATCCACAGCACTGAGGAGTTAGCTAGGACGCGGACACGACAGAATTAAAGTACAAATCATACGTCGGTCAGACTACCGCTGCATAGTTTACGATTCTTTGCTCCACAACCACACTTACCGTTCACTGCGCATAGGTGGCATGAGAGCAAGCCTCCCAAGAGATTCAAAGTGTTTTCTCGCAGCTTCCGTTGGACAGACACGTTGCGCCAGGGGTGTTTAACTCACTATACACGAAGCTTGCCTCATACCTCCGGCGATTTGTTGAAGTTTGAGCCGCAGTGCAATCAGAATGTTCAATTTATGCATCCGGCAGTAGCTCCTCCGCTCCAGCTTCGAGTCCACTTCACCATGTTCTAGTTCGAGTACAAATACTGGCGTTTACATGTCAGCGAAGCACCACTACGAATCCCCGATGTACGATTAACACACTAACTGAATTAGTCATCTACCGAGATTTTTCATAATTCCAACAATACCCAGTACTTAGACAGCAGATAGTGAAGAGCTTGATAAGTTTCTAAATTGTTAGATTGTTGGGAGCTGTTGCAAACTTCATAGAGTGAACATCTATTACGAGAGCAATGCGTAGACTACTCAGAGAATAACCATTCATACCTTCAGGAATCATACATGTACCTCATCGGCTAGCTAACCAATTTGGCTACTGGAGTAGTAGACAAGTTTAGACTTATTCCCTGAAGCCATCGGTTTTCTTGAAGAGTAAACCGGATGTCAATTGGAGGTGTCAGGGTTGGGAGGGACAACACCGAAACCTTCACTTCGGATACGGTCGTTGTGATCGGAATGACCGAGGTCTACTCCAAAGTGAACCGAGGTTTCGACAGAGGTTGAGTGTCGCAATCCAACCACACAGCAGGTACTCCAAACCCAACTTGAGATGTCAACTGCTATCCATCGTACTTTTAAGGTGTTGGATTATTGGAGAGAATGTGAGATGAAGTGCAAGACTGGAGTAGCACGTGACCGGAAAAATAGAACAACATCAGATTAATTAGGATGAAGTTGAAGCAGTGACCTTCCACTGTTTGCATTCTATAGTCCTTGCTGAAACCGACTTAATTGAAGAAACCTGACGGGTTTGTCGAAATGCTGCCAAACCCGTGTATGCAGACGGAAATTCACAGCAAACTAGATGGTTATAAGCTCAACCGCTTCAGATCTATCAGTAACAACCAATGCACTCCGATGAACAGCCTCTGCTGCCTTGAACCATACCCCGTGGATGGTAGAAACTTTCAACGATGTAACTACAGAGGGTAAAATAGAGTAGTAAACCAATATATCTTGAATGGTAATGAATTTCGTCGAACCAATGGATTCGAGAGCAAAGGCGAAGGAACTAGAGCGCTGACTGCAACATATGACATGGAGTTGCTATGCGCTGGTTTGAGAGATCACCTGGACTCGATTCGTATACCGGCATTCTCGTTCGGTCATGTTCGTTGCCAGATCTTTGTAATGCTTCGGTCGTTGTTTCATTTGGGCATAAAAGTAATTTTTGACATTTCCATATCTGAGGTTCAAGGCCGCTGAGCGCCTGGTAACATGTGGTATTAAAATACCCCATCAGTCCCGTTTATATAAAGCGTGCACTTAACTGGCTGGGAGTTTCACTAACAGCTGATGACAGACAGTTCAGCTGAAAAGTGTTTATATTATATTACTGAAAGTAGTTTGGAATACAACACTAGTCTTACAGGATTTCTAAATGGCTTAGCCGCGGCCTTTAGGTTCAACATTTTCCCGGATTAAACAAGATTGATGCTTGGTATGGTTGGCGACATCCGGTTTCGGATTTGCCTGTCACTGTGGTCAGCCACAGAACGCCTGCGCCTACAGAGGGACCATAGGTGGCATGCGCTGCACCACCCACAGCTCCAACCACACACCCCATATCCAGTGTAAACCCGAAGGAATAAGACCGGGAGGCATGCGGATGGGAACCACGTTTCATCAACGGAGCCGGCCCACACACCTTCACAGGCAAACACAAGCACGCTGTATTTGGGGAATCAAGTGCACACAAGGCGGTGGCTGGACCGTAGTCCGCTCCACACTGAGTGTATGGAACCACTCTTCGAGCCTACCACGACCACAAGGACCGTGCACCCCATCTCCTCCAGCAACGACCAACTGTCTCCTAGAGCCAGTATGGACGAGTTAGTGGGTGATAGACAGGTAGCCACCTTGTCAACATGCACATCAAGCGCAGCCACACGTGGGATGTCAAACAACAGCCAATCACTTTAAATGACATTATCAAATAAAATATATCTGTTAAAGAATACGGCTACACCGACATAACTCTTCGATAAATTAGCATATGAATTAAGGTAATTATCAACGAATCCGCGATAAGTACAAAATGTCCACAAGTCACCCAAAAATACTGCAAACACAATAAAGTTAACGAAGATAACCACAATTAGCGTAAGCAACGTGGCCAGTTAATAGAAGATTATTCAGGTAGGCAGAACAAAGCAAATAAAGTGGAAGGAAATTTATCCGGCTTAAAAAGACCTAGTGTAAGTGTAAGTGTGCTTGGTAAGCACAGTGCTTATCACCACACTCATACTAGCTATGTGTCGGTCTCTGCGCGTAGCGAGATCCTATAAACTTGTATTCTCCTGCCCTATCTGACACCAATAAGGTCGATGGATGAAGAACAACACCATAGTAAACCATACTAGAAATCCCAGGACTAAATTTGTACACTTTTTGACACCAGTATTTTTGACTACTTGCCAGTTTGGTTGTAGAGAGAAATGGGACACTTGTGTGTGCTGAGGAACGATGATCAGTCTTCAGCCCGTAGTCAATAAGTGTTCGTTCACCACACCGTCCGCATAAAACCAGAGATTTACATTGTCAGGTAGTATAGTTATTTGCAATTTGGAAACAGGCCCTTAGCTAGTAGAGTACCTCACCGGCGCTTAGTAGATTGTTGATACGGTATGCACTACGATAATGTTTTCTGCGATTTGATGGTCTTACTATATTTCAACCTTATCAGTAGCGCCTCGTCAATTGCCAACAACGTCGGGTTCTTGTTGCGCAATAGCATCTTGAATAAATCGATTGGGTTCACCTGGTGACGAGTCAGCATGAGGTGTTTGGAGATAGACGAGGTAGGGTTCCAATTCATTCTTTGTTTCGCTCCGCCTTGGTTAGACAGCAACTGCCTTAGCCACAATGGGAAGTGTTCCGCCACCCTTTGAGCCAGCCGGCTACCAGTCTTGCCTATGTAAGTGTCACCGCAACTGCAAGTGAACTGGTAGATGATGTTAGAGGCCGAACTGATTGGCGCGCTGCTCGAACGGATGTGGAGAGGAATCCTTCGTGTGGTGTGAATAAGTCGTAGTTGGGCGGTAGAGTTGGTGCGCATTAGAGCGGACCTGAGCTTGTGACCAACTTCATTTGCTAAGTGATCCCCCTTGAAGGGTAAGAACAGATAAACATTCTTCTCCGCAGTTTGTACGGGCAGCTTCTCCTTGGGGGGTCTGCTATGGGTCTGAATGAATTTATCCGGATACCCGTTAGCTAGCAAAGTCCGGTATAAAAACTCTTCTTCAGCCTTGAGTAATTCCGGACTGCATATCCGCCTGGCCTTGTAGAAGAGAGTTTTTACAAGGCCGCGCTTGTATGCAACTTGGGCGAAGATGGAAAAATGTAGGTATTGTCCCCCCCCAGATCGATTTTCTGTACACCGTGCGCTGCAATGTGCCATCGGTCCTTCTCTTGATGAGCACGTCAAGAAACGGCAGTCTGTCTTCTTGTTCCTTCTCTTGTGATACTATATTTACGCCACCGCTAGCTGGCCAAGCAAACTGAGTGAACGCATGGCATCGACTGGACCGTTACTCATTTACATGGAAGAATCCTACTTCGGACTAAACACTATAACAAGAAAGCATGACGATTAGCTCTGACGAAGGATGGCAATTTCCTGTTGACAGTGCACTTGGTGTATCGAATAGCTAGGTGGCACAAAAACTGTAAGCACCCGCAACGATATTTCTTCGAGCGATTTAATTACGAGCATCGACATTCTTGTAGATGTTGTCAGTCGTTCCTATTTAAACACAAAAGGATGCGCATAACGAGGTGGCAATCATGGCGTAATACGCATCTTTACTTTATTAGGTGGTTGTCCTTCGCTCTTTTAGACGGCTGATTCTCAATCGGAACTGGAGGTCGCTGGCCCGCCACAGGAAAGAGAGAAGACCGGATCGGACCAGTAGGGGAACAGGGTTCTATTAGCCAATCATACTGTTCATAATAAGGGTAAAACCAAAAGTTCGTGGCTGCTATTTAACGCTCACATGGAAAACATAAGGTCAACTTACAGCCAGTCAAGTAATTCCACCCTCTTGTAATTGGCCCCATCACTTGGTTGGCTACCGTTTCGCCTCAATCCATACGAACGAGTTTGGCTCGCCCTCCATGAATCGCTCCTTAACGATGATGGGCGTATCGGTTGTTCGCTTAGAGTTTTCCTGAGAGTTACTGAATTTTCCTATGAACCTGATGCTAGGCTCAGCTTTGAATCCTGGTTCAAGTGTTACGAAGATGTGTCCCGCGTTGAACTTGGAGACCATGATAACGATTGGAAAGTCCGATTGCTGTTAAGGAAACGGAACAGCAGAGCACTCCAGGTATGTAATTTTTTTATGCAAGAACGCTCGAGATTGCACTTATGATGCGACTGTCAAATGCTTGGGCCAAATATTTGGAGAGCAGTCATCCATCTTCAACAAGCGATATCAATGCCTGAAGGTCATCAAGAT